CTCTTGCAGGCAGATTTCATTTGCAAGGGCGTGAGAGTGACGGTTTTTTTTCACGAGACGGACGCCGTGTGGGCATGGTGCCCAGGCCACTGTAAGGAACCAAGAAAGGCCCTCACCGTCCGCCTGGGCCGAATGGTATCCCAACAGCGATCAGCAACCTGCCCCTCAGCAGCAAAGCAGTAGAGCAAGACACTCGTGGGAAACATGCAGCACAGCCAGAAAACGACCCAAAACAGAACCAAACCAGACCCAAAGGGCAGGCCATTTCCCCATCATAACAACCCAAATTAGCGCAGAGCAGCAAGAAGAACAGAAGCAGCTCTTGTGGGTGCTCACTGACAAAACCAGTCAGCACAAGAGGCTGATGTGCACAGCCCCACAGTCCGGTGCACACATGCAGAGGAAGCAGGCGTCGTGCTTGTCAGGCTCATTCCTCGCACTTGACTTGTGCTTTTCGGCACACACAACGCCCTACCCGTGCAAAAAAAAGGTGCACAGCAGCTTGATGACACCCAATGGTTGCATTGTGCGGTCAACAAGTTGGTGGATCAATCGTGTTTTCCTTAGCCTCATCAGCACAAATGTCAAAATTATCATCAGCTGTTCACAACTTATCAGCAGCCTCCTGCCGTTTTTAAATGTGACAACAAATTCAACCTTCCGTCTTGGGACACAATCCAGGCTGTGCGCTTGCACCAAGATTGTCAAAAGGGACAAACCTCACGGAAAAACAATTTGACAGATTTGGCTCGAAAGTCTTAGCCGCAAATTCCTTGCCTGCTCTGCTTTGTGGCATGGGAAATGGAACTTTGTTTTGAATTCAGCCCGGGAACAAAACTCAGATGGTGTCCAGAGTGGCCTCGAGTGCCAGTTCTTGTGCCATTCCATTCTTGTTCCGAGCCTTTTGACATTTTGCAATATTTTTTTTTGTAGTTTTTTTTTTTGGTGAAGTGTACACTTTGTGAAATCTTACTGTACATGTGGAATATCACAATATGAGAACTTGGTTCGTCAGGCAATATCACCATGAATCGGCGGGGGGAGTTCCTGGAGATCTCTGACGAAGATGGGCAAGTGAAGCGAGTCGTCCGAGGTGGTGGCAGCTTGGCCAAGGAGCGAGGATGGCCACAAAACAAAGTACCATGGACGGCCACAGATTATGAGCCCCCATATAAAAGGATCTATTATGTTTTGGTATATATATATATCTATTTATTTTATGTTTAAAGTTTGCTGTACAACATGTGTATTTACATTCTTTTTCTCACCTGAACCTGCACTTTTCTTTCAAACCATAATAAGAGAAGTATTTGCAGGTATTTGCAAAGGTGGTGGAGACATCAAGGTCATTTAACCAAAGAAAATGTTACTGTATTCTTGTCCATGTATTCAGCAGTGTTCAGCATCGCGACATTTTTCTGTCTCGTGGAGATTTAGCATAGTCCCTTTTGACAAGGTGACACAGCGCTGGTGCCAGTCAAGAAACTGTTTATAAAGCTTTCAGACGTGCTTTGGCTGCAAAGGAGCCGATATGTCAGGAAAGCGCTTTCGTTCCATGTTTGCAAGATGTGGCCGATGGTTTAATGTTTAACCCTCAGGTTCATCCAATATCCAATGAATGCTTTGATTAAGACTCCACAACAGGCAAACCTGCACCTGAACTTCTTAAACCGACAAGTTTGAAGACTTTGAACGCAGCAAAGGGATCCCGAACCATTTAAGTTGCTCTTAGTCTTTACCAATGAATCCATTCCACAAGACACTGCTGATTAGTCAAGTACTTTTCTGTACCAAGTCAATTTCACCTGAACTGAGATTTCTCGGGGGCTTGACTGAGACATTTGATTTCGCGAGGTTTGCTCAGTCGCATTAAAGGCAGAAGAGAGACTTGTTTGCATCACATCACATTCCAAGTCAACGTGCAGTAGAGGGGGTACCTTGGGTGTGGTGTGTTGCCATGATAAAGTTGCCAAATCAGGAGCGACGTAATGTTTACGCTGGAAAACGGGGTTGAGTATGTGCTCAATGGCCTTGTGACTCTGCTGCACTTGGTTCTTGCTTTGTGCCCATTCTTCGAAATCAGAGTGAACCAGAATGGCAGCACGAATCTCAAGCTCTTGAGGAGGATGCTGAAGCAACCTACAGTCAGTCTGCGACCTCAAAGATCTTCACATGTCCAAATGCTGGTGATGCAAGGTGCACGTCTCCACTGAGGTTCGTGGAGTTCATTGCTGCTGATTGATTTGGGACTGACAAAGTCACCGGAAATGACATGAGAGTCGCCAACGCTTGCACCTCATGGAACACTGCGAACTTTTGCACTTGTTTGAAAAAGATTTGATTTGCAACATTGACTTTTGATCGCTTCAGCACTTGCTTCAGCAGCGCTTTTTAATTTATCTTCATAGACTTGTGTTGCTGACTTGTGTTTGGCAACTGTCTTCTTGATTTGGCATGGGGCAGAATGCAATGGCTGTCCAAATATTTTTCTATTTGCACCGAAGCTTGATTATCATAATCGGCCATGCTAGATACAATCACGCGGGTTTTGCCGAGTCAGCCTTTTTGCTCGAGACCGCAAAACTTGCGATCAAGCTTATCCATATTATCCATACTTTTAGCGTCCTGTTTAACAGTCCGGAAAACATTGCAAGGATGTTCACCTTAATCAATATGTAAATGCATAATAGTACTGTATATTTCAGTCAAGATGAGCATTCGATTGGCAACTGTTTTGCAACATGGAAGACGCGTACACTGGCTGAGTAAGGGAACATCGCAGCATGGCGGCAGTCTTGAAGAAGGAGCATCATTTGTTTGAAACACTGAAACTAAGACTTCTCAAATAGTTTGATGACATGCGAACCTGGAGTGCAGAAGCTCGGATGCGAGGATCTTGATGCCAAGGAGGAAACGAGGCTGATTGAGCACCAATTGTCCCAGAAACTTCTTGTTCAACTGCTTCGTCAGTGGGATCTTCAAAGACTGACGTTCAACAGTCTGTTCTGAGATTGAACATGTCACATGCTTCCTGTGTTCTGCTGAGAGGTTCATTTCTGTTCTAACAAATTTCAACCTCATTTAATGGGCGAGGTCTGATTGTGAATGGCGGCAAAAGATACAAGAGCTGCATCGACACATTGATGAGGCAGATAGCACATTGACCATTTTCCCAGATTGTATGCTGAAATCAGTTTTGTGGAATTGCACAATGTGTTTTGCCATGGGCAACAACCCAGGACGTTTGGCTGGTTGAAAGGTTTCTGCAGAACCCAATTGAATCTTCGATCCTGCAACCTGTTTGTTTGTTTATTTTTTTCCTTTTCGCCCAGTCACCAGTCTGCTACTGTAGGAACACCCTTTAGCTGTTTCAAGCTTTTTATTCTTAGAAGAGAGAACAATGAGGGCACTGCTACGGTTTAGCTGTTTTGCAAGGTGGTTCATGCCTTCATTAGCGATCAAACACGGGAGCGCTGGCCTCAAAGAGCAGTATATGATATGGCAGATATTTGGGTTTACATGATTTGTCAGCCAGCAAAACTGTTGAAGGTTAGATGCTGCTTCAGCAGAGCTTTCCCAGCGAATGGACAGGATTGTTGTGCAGGACACCGCAAGCAAGCTTTATTGTCAGAATTTAAGGTGATTTGAGCCTCCACCTTGAAGCTTAGGGGTATGATTAAAGCCAGGAGAAGAGGCTGGATGACCTCAGCCATTCCATCTCCAGATTTGTGGAGGCAGGAGTCCACGAAAGTAGGCAGATAACTTCTTGTTACTACTAGTAAGGCACCTGTTACTACTAGTAAGGCACCTGTTACTACTAGCAAGGCTTGTTACTAGTAGCGATGCACTTGTTTCTAATATATAAATTCCCAAGAGTAGCTCCAACTTGCACCTCGTTTGGGGAGTGTGTGTCGTTGCTGCAGCGCAATGTTTGGTGTCTCGTCCCGTCATCGCCTCAAGCTTTCGGGCACATCTTTTTCCAGATACTCGCAAGGCCACTTGGGAGACGAGTTGTTACTTGGTCGTGGACTTTCGTGCATGTTTTGGAGATGTTCTTGCGTAGGGTCTGCGGGACTAAAATGATGCCACATGCGGAGTTGGAAGATGTTATATATATATATTTTCGGGTGAGAGTTTGGGTGGGGGGTAATGAATGACGGTCGTTTAGATGTGCTTCAAAATGATGCTACATGCACACGTGTGTTGGAAGATGAGGGGTTTGGTGGGTGGGTGGGTGGGGTATATAATGAGGTTTGTTTGTATGCTGATATGCCTTGAAGATGATGACTTTTGTTAATGAGATAGTTGCTGTCAAAACCCTTGTCCCCCAAAACACGCAGGGTTTATGAATACCGTAAACAGATTCCACACAGATGGCTGTTTTGGTGCGTCTTACCATGTTTTTGAGTTCTATTGCACAAACGTTTGGCATTCCAACTGACAGGCTGAGACGAAGCACTTGGCAGAGATCGGCCACCACATGCCTTCGGATCGAGAACAGAAGGCTCCCAACATCGAGCATCGACGGACCAGAATATTCTTCAACTCCATCCGGGAATCCGGGATTTGCACTTTTGGAACTTCATTCTTTACACTTTTGATACGTAACTTTCCATGGTTTGAGAGTGGTCTCGAGTTTCGTCCTAGATTGTTTTTGTGGAGATCTACTTTTCCGGCGTGGTTCACAGTCATGGTCGTTAGTGTGTGAGCTCGTGCGAAGGGTCAGATCCAGAAGGATTGATTTTCCTTTTGAGACCACTTGCCGAGCCAGCTTGACCTATCTGCACGAGTCTGTGAGCTTACATATTCCAGGGCCTTTTGCTCGAAGGCATGGCCTCAGCTTTAAGTTAGGTCTTCGGTTGGCAGCCTTCAGGTGCCTTCCCTTTCATGTTCATTTCAGGACCTGATATTTGTACCAGGCATGTAATTTTGTGTTGAGTGACACTTCTGCCAACGGGGGTGACATGTTAGAGTCCTTCAGTTTGTGAATGCAGGAAGAGATGTGGTCGTGGTCCTTCCAACAGCTCTTTTTGTTGATTTGCATCTACCTGCAGCTGGCCAAATCAATTGAAACTGGACATCATCATCGACCAACTCTTCTTCGGCATGAAATCTCGTCAGACGGGCTAGTCCAGCAGATGCCCAATGTTCAGCCACAGCGAGAGGATCCTGAAAGGCAACATTGTTCGGATTGCTGCAATGATGGCCAGAAGAACGTTGCCTGCGCTGATGTTGAGGCTTGTGCGGCCACCATGGCTGCAGGCAGGTATGCCTTGGTATTCTCTTTCGTTGGGAAGATGGGGTTGGAAGCAGTCCCATTTCTGGAATCAGCCAAAGCGGCAGCAAACTTGGCCAACAAGGCAGGGCTTGGTGAGACCACTGCATGCTGCGGTGGGTGTTGGTTGGACTAGATGAGCTCACAGATTTTGTTGTGATAGGATAGGAAGCTGTGGCCTCATGTCCTGCATCCACAAGATGATGTGTTTTTTGCTGAGGCAGACATTTTGATACTGATGACTCAACGTGACGCCCAAGACATCAATCTGTCTGCGCACAAGTTGTTTCAGAAGGAAGGTGCGATTCCCAATCATAGCTGATGTAAAAAACCCTGATGAGCTGCCTGTCTTTGAGAATTATCAATTCCTCCCGACTTGATGGTTTTGGATTTGACATTTAGACTGTCGAAGCATTTGTTTTGCTTGGATCGTGAGAGTTGTGTATATATACAGTATACAGTACACATGATCAGCCTTTTTGCAGGTGTTCAGGTACATGTTGTCGAGTGGGCCTTACCTCCGAGAATGAAGTACACAAAGCGCGAGAACTGGTGTGGCGAAAAGGATCTCATCCGTCTTCATGCCTTAGGAGACCTGGGACACCTGGGAGATGGGAAGAAATTTCAGAAAGCGAGGTGCAAAAGAAGCAGCACTAGTGTTACTAGTGTTTGTTCTTTGGTGATGCGGAGTGTCCTTTTTCAACATTGGAGAACATTGGAGGCAGTAGTACTACCGAGCTCTATGGAATTCCTGAAGCAGTGTTTGAGTGAAAGGTTTCTAGACTCGTTTTGAAGGACTTGACGACTACGATGCTGTGGCATACTTTGACAATGACATTGAATTTCAAGGTGACATATTGCCCATTCTGCGCTGTGCTTCTGCAGGCCTCAGCAAATCATGATTTGAGACGCACAAATGAGACTTTTGGAGTCATTTGTCAACAAGCCATCCTTTCTCAGGTAACTTCTTGACCACAAATGGGGGCCTTGGCGAAGCTCTCAACGTTGGTTTTTTTGCTCTGAAGCCTCATCGACTTCTTTTGAAGGTTGGACGTGCGGACGACTGTGGCAACATCAAAGGAGTGGGCGCGGCTCGAAACTCCGTGTCCCCCCCCCAAACTAAATATATACTTCGGTGGTAGTGGCGAGCATGGCCCCGGTTTTTGAGCCAAGCCCATGTGGCCATGTTTCTTGACACAGCCTGCAATTTGTTGGAACAACTCTACACCTCACGGGTATTTTCCATGGGCCTGAAAGGCCTTACAGACCATACAAGTCCAAACAGGAAACTGCAGCCACTTTTGTTTGACCCTTCAGCAGTTAGCAGCAACTTGCCTGCCTGATTCCGTGTCAGGCAGCTGAAGACTTTGCCCAAGAAGCCGACTACTCAGAGCTTACTGGATGGGCGAAGGAAGGTTGGAAACCCTGTGGCGGATACTATGTGGGAGGTGAGTGTGGACAAGGCTTCTTCCACACGCTTTTCTACAAGAGGCAGAGAATTCTACAGCAGAAAATGCTGGAAGCAGGGCAGAATTGGACTGCTCTCCAGATCGATAAGTGTGTGTGGAACTACCAAACGAGCTTTCAGTGTCCGAAGAGTTTCCATTGTTCCAACGTGCGTGTGCATCACAAGCCCATGAAGCCTGGCTCTGATCCACACGAGTGCTTGAAGAGCAAGTACAGCAAAGTGGCGAGAACAAGCTACTTGGCGGACGCACGCAGTGCACGCTCAGCAGCCCTGGCCCAAGGAGTTCTGCCGGTGAGGCGCTTTGGCTTCTACTTTCCGGTGCACGATCAGGTGCAGGGTGTGGTGGAAGTGCTGAAGTCTGCGAGGCACTTTTATCCTGAGGCTCCGATCTACATGCTGCAGGATGGTGGATCCATTGACTTTGGTCCTTTGTGTCGGATGCAAAGGCCAGCATTCTCGTCAATGGTTGATGGGTGGATTGTGTAAATACTTGTTGCTGGAGGTCAGTATGGTAAGTAAGTGATGTGATTCGGTGACTGATTGCTTCTCCTTAACCTTCGCTGCATGCCACAACCAAAAGCCGGGGCGGCGGGGACCGGTGAGAATGTTCTTGTTTTGTGTCCTGAAGCAAGGTTCAACTGTATTTTCCAACGAGCTCCGGGTGAAAACAGCCGCTGGAATCCCCACTCCTGGTTTGCACGAATGCGAGATGCAACTGAAATCCTGAGAAGCGAGTGGCTTGATTGAAGAAAGTTACACATTGAACGGAAGAAAACAAGATACCCAAAAGACTTTGCCGAATCGAACCACTTCATCATCCTTGTTACGCTTCTTTCTTGGGAGCACTTGCTTTGACGTGCATTTACACCAACCTACGTGCCAAGGTACGTGATCTATTTAGAGCCTGATGTCAAGATTACTCGACGGCATCACATTGATCCAAAGCATGACGTCGCAGCCTCAGCAGTAGCCGGACGTACGCTAGACACCTGATTGACTGCAAGAAGTGAGGTGAAAAACAACTTTTGTTTTGTTATGCCTGCAAGTCAGGAGGCATCAAATTTGATGGCATCAAGTATATATATATATACATATACAAGGTTCTAGTGACTTGGGATTAAGTGGCTGGTGCTCCCTACTCATACTCATTTGGTCCCAGTACATTTTGAGTCCGGAAGTTTTGCCTTGGAATTCTTTTGTGCATTTGCAGGCCGGTGGTGTTTACGACAACTTCAACCCAAGGATGAGTGCCGAGACCAAAGATTACTTGGACGCCTGTTTGAAATTGCAGATGGGGGTAGAATGCCTACGGCCTTGCCAAGAGAGAGAGGGGGGTCTTTCTAGAAATCAGTTTCTCCTGTATCAATGATACCGATAGATATATCATGTTGGCAGCTGCTTGAGGCAATCCAGGGACAATCCGGATAGAGAAACCTTTAATCCCTCATGTGTGCTGATGGGTAGAAGAAATGGACAGAAAATAGAAGACTGATCTCCCACTAAACTGGGTCATTCTTGCGCATCTACGGCCAGGGGTGCAGGGTTGTTTTTACCGGCATGTCTTGGCCTTGGATGTTTTCTGTAGGAAGGGCTGGGGCGTGAGAGGGACCCCTGCTTCAGCATCTCCTGGACGCACTTTGGGCTTTGTGGTGGCTCCTATTTTCGATCAGAAGCTATCCTGGACGCCTTCAAGCCTCAGAACATCTTGCGGATTGACTGGCAAAGGTTGAGTGCCAAAGAAGGTGCCACGCTTGGTGCAGCGAACAAATATGTGTATATCATTTGCTGCCATTGCTTTTTGTGAACAACACTTGCAACTGTTAGAGATTTTTGCAAAAGAAAGCTGATCCACTCTGAACTTGATGGTGTTGTTGGAAGTCTAGCTGAAGTATTATCTATGACAAACAACTATGTGTTTGTACATGGAAGAACTCAGATACACAACAGGTCCACAACTGTTGGGGAAGAGAGTTTATTTGATAGCAAGCAAGCTTTACATACCAGGAAACAGTTTTCTTGACAACATAGCTTGCTATTCTTGAGTGCTTCCACCCTGTTGCCAGGAGACAAAACGATGAGCAGCGATTTTGCCATGCTGGTGGCACTTTCAGCACGTGCTTGGACGGTTTATCCCTGGGAGGAAGACCTGTGTAAACGTTCTGTCAGATATTATATTCAATTCTAACGAGTTTGAGTTTGATATCCTGTTTTGTAGTATACATCGAGTTTGGAGCGAGGTTTGTTGGGTACAGCACTCGCTTGTGCACTGCCAACGACTCACTTGTGAGTAGACGTCATCATAAATGACACCAATTTTTGTGGGCGCCGAATGGTGGTAGAGGACCAAGGAGGAGCACCTTTTGTGGGCCACCTGTGGGTAACATTTAGAGTAGGAAGGAGCCACTCCAACCTTAGGCACCCCCAATGTCCCTCATCTCGCTGCAAGTCTTTGTGCGCAAGTGATAGAAGCAAGCGCAAGTGAGTTCTGGGTTGACTCTCCTTCATGATGACGTTTTTGGGATCAGATGTCCTCCTCGCGAGTGCTTTGGGTTTGGTGCCAAAGGGTTGTTGCTGATCACAAGAATCCTCAGCAGGAGACAGCGCAACATTTCAACGATGCCCCGTCGGATCCAGCTGACTTGCTCAGCTTTCGAAAGCAGTGGCCGGCGTGCAATGAGTCAGCGGCTTTCCAGCACAACCACAAGGACATAGACGGGGCCTACGTCTCCATGTTTTCACCCTTTTTCCTATTCTTCATGACAGGCACTTTTTTGGATTTCCTGCTTGCAAGAACTTTGCTTGCAGCTCAAAAGGATTTGCTTGCAGGTCTTTCTTGCTAGTTAGCTCTTGGAACCCGCCACCAAGCCTCAGCAGGAGCTGTACCATGCTACAATCGCAGATGATGAGCGAGCAGCCATCGCACACTTCACAGACCACGTGCTGGACACCACTTGCCATGGCTGCGTTTGGTACAAGGACCCCGAGACTTGTTGAGATTCCTTTATAAAGTCTCCGAACTCTCTGACCTTTCCCAAAGTCTTCCTCATCCAACCTAAAGCGCTCGAGCGTCCCAGGAGAAGCAGTACACCCTGCCGTTAAATGGACCAGTCACAGTTCTAGGATGTGCCCTCTTGGGTAAATGCTTCCACTGCCTGTTGCAGGATGGCAGTCCGCGTTCGGTCTTGAGCATTCCCAGTCGTCCTCCGGATGCCGAAGGTGAGACATTGCTACTGCTTTTCGGTCTCAGTGTGACTGCAGCCGCTCTTTCAAGTGGCTTTGGCTAGCCCTGAGGTGTGAACTTGAACCTGGCGAGACCCTCCCATTGTGACGGCCCGAGGTTGCTTGGAAGCACCATGTGAGCTCTTCCAGCATTTTTTCGCTGGTTCAGCAAGATAATTTGCGGATTTGCTCAGCTGTATTTGCCTAGGCATGTGGGGTCTTTGCTTGCTGATCCGGGCTACATTCGGAATGCTGGGAGTGTGGAACTGCCCTTTGCTGGCAGTGCTGGACTGCCTCTTGCAGAGCATCAGCCTCCCTGGCTTCTGAAGAAGGATGTTTTGGTCGAAGATGGAAGGGACAAGGACTGTGCCAACCACACTGGGGCGCAGACTGTGCAAGCATCTAGCGACTGTCGAAAGCGACCAAACAAAGAAAGGGATAAACGACATTTGCATGGATGCAGCTTCAGGATGGCGGAGGCATTCTCGTCGTGCAGCCAGTATTCATGGAAGCTGGTTGCTTGGTCTTGGCTTTGATCGACCAGTGGAAGGTTTATTTTAGATGACGCCAGGTTGAGTGAGTGGCGTTCTCAACCCAGGAGCAGGTCTGTCCGCTTTTTTGGTAGATTGTTCAAAAATTCCCCCACTTCAACCAACAGCGGTCTGAATGCCGCTCTTGGCAAAGTCCCAGTCAGAACATCAAGTGCCTTTGGCTGATGAGTCGTATTTTATAGTTGCGTTCAAGTAGCCGCTTGCCTAGGACCCTTGTGGGGCACATTACAAAGCCGGCCCCGTTGGCTGCGGTCCATTTTGGCCACTAACCGCTTTCACGTGCGCCGCTATGGTCATGCCATGGTTATCAGGTGCGCAGAAGTGCAATACAAGCTTGGTTGGTGAAGGTGATTGCAATATTTGCCTATTTGATGTGATGTTTCTTCTTTTGGCTAGTGTGTAAAGTAGTTGTTGTAAAGACAGCTCTCACCTGGACAAGAGTTCCTACAGTGTCGCTGATTGGTCTGGAAAACATGGCCCTACAGACACAGGTGGCTCCCGAGCCAACCTCAGCTCTTAGAGTGGCAGCGGCAGCAGTGCGGTGAGCTTTCCGAGAAGGCGGCCGAAGCTGCAGTCACTGAGTGGCTCAACTGGTGTTTCTGGAATCCATTCGAGCTGATATTGCCAATCCACGTGGCTTTTCAGTAAGTAACTTTCAGAGGGATGCTTGGATGACTCGAACCAAATGGGTCACGTGGTTTGTAGCACGGTATCATCACCAGTTTCCTGTCATGGAACTCACCAATTGGTATAACATGGAGGACTGCACCCAGAAGAACGAGCGAGAGAACTTCAACTGGGAGAAGCATCGTATGTTGGAGGACTGCTGGCACAGAAGCAGAATGGAGGGAGAGGAAAGAACATTTGATCGGATTTATCAAGAAGACGATGTGTTTTTGTTTCATCCAGAGTTGGTTGGTGGACAAGGGTTCTCTCCTGTCTGGCTGGCAAAGCAGGATTACCTCAAAAGCTCACAGAACTTCAGCTATGTGATGATGCTGGCCAGGGGCTCACAAAAGTTGCCAATAAACTAAGCAGATCAATGAGGGATATGCTTCTTGCTGTGCTTTGTTGATGAAGGGTATGAAGACAGGACAGGACTCAGCTTTCATGACATGTGGCACAGCTGAGCTGAGGATGCGGATGCTGCTTTGGTACGGCACGAGCATGACATTCTCGCAGCGATGGCTGACCAACTGACCACCCACCATCGACTCTTTGGCGAGAACTCCGTGGGCTCCAGAGGGTAGGAATGGAAGTCTGTTTTTGTGTTCAGCAGACGATGCCAAGCATGCTAAGCCCAGTGAGTTGTGGCCATCAAGGGCCTCGTGTCCATGGCCCCATGGACTCGCAATGAGGAGATGTCTTCCTGACCAATGAAGACTGGCTTGCGAATGGCGCAAAAAGGCTGGAGGGAACCCTGCTTCAACGAGTCCTCCATCCAATGAAGGCATAAAACGAGTAGGGCTTGCTTGAGAAGTCAGCAATTTGTGTGTGTTGTCCAGGGTCATGATATTTTGGAGGCATTGTACAAGACTTTGAGAACACTGAACCCTTTGGGTTTGAAGCCACCGTTCATCCCTGGCAGGATCAACGGCGGTGTCATTTTTGCCAAGAATAGCCAGTGGTCCAAAGTGCCTCGCTGTGAAACGTCATATTACTAATTAGGATATTTGATCACTTCTGCAGCTTCATGTTTCCCCATTTCATGTAAGTCGACTAACCTTTTACTTCCATCTTTGCTTTTTGCATTCTCTTCGGATCTCTGCAGGAAGGTTTGCAGAAAGATCTTCAATACACCTGGCACTTGGTCAACCGAGGATCTTTTCCAAGACACGACTGAAGCTCATGTCCTGGGGCCACGGGGCTTGAAAAGTTGGCGCATTGGGATCCAGGCCTTCCTGTGGGCGGTTTCTTGCACGATGTTTTCAAAGACGGTTCTGTGGAAGATGGGAGGAATCATCCACTCAGCCCTGTCAGAAAGGATTCTTCTTATTGTATCCTTGTCAGATTTTGCTACAGTTATATAGAGTTTGCAGTAGCTTTTGTTGTTGCATGGAGTACATACCACTTTGCTATATAAATATATATAAATCTTTCTTACTCGAAAGACATATCAGCTATAGAAGCGTATTCCATTGATATTTTCCAACACGTTCTTTGGTCAGAACCACCAGTGCAGCAGCAACGAGCAGATCTGCTTAAATGATGCGAGATGCTCAGTTTCAGCTGCGTGTCATGCTTCCACTGTTCTTTTGTCGACCGACAATTTGTTCTTCGCACTTGGAGGGCCCTTCCAGAAAGTTTTTCCCGCTCCACTTGTTGACATGAAGCTCAGTCAGGGCGAAGTTCTGGTAGCTTTAATTTTGGGCCACGCAGTACCAAGGCTATGGCGGCAAGCTCCGACATGGGAGCTCACGCATTGCTGGCGATGCTTTGCAGTGAATGGGAAGGTTCAACAAGTGCCCGATTGCAGATGAGAAGGGCGAAGTATAGTCTAGTCGATTCGAGGTATTCTAGCTCGATCAGCAGATGAAGTAAAGTCTTATTGAAGACATGTATTGGGCTGACCTGCCCTCAACCAACTGTGTGTTTGGATTTTTCTTTTTCCACGGGACCATGGAAGTCGCCCCCTGTTAATTTGTCAATGACCATAGTGCTCAGGGCCGTAGCAGCTTCTAAGCAATTCCGACCACCAATGGGACTGCTTTTGCTTATTTGTCACAGGGCTTCGGGTGTGTGGGCATCCTAAAAGCTCGCTTGTTCAGTTCTTTCAGGAGTGGAATCCAATACAATCGCGGTGCCTGCACCCTACACCATTGTGGAGAGCCGATCACAGACCACGACGCATTAAGAATGGGTCTTGATGACTCTCAGCTGGAGGTGTTGCACTTCATGGGCGCTGACCTGAGCAAGTTCATGCACTGAACACAGGTGTTTTCCCATGGCTGAGCTCAATTGCGTTTGCTGGGTTTCTCCTTGCCAAATAAGGTGATCACACGATGGCAGACAAAGTCCTGTGCGACGGATCCATCGATTTCACCGGCGGGGGAAGCAGTGGCTATGGGTGTAGTCAAAGAGGATCTTTGCTGGCCGTGAACAGCAGCGCTGTCGGTGAAGAGGCAGTCTTCCTGTGTTGCTGAGGAGATATTGCAATGCTGAGGAGTCTCATCTTACCACTGACGAACTGCTAGAAGTGAGTGGTGTAGCAGGTTTGGAGCAAGAAGAGCATTTACGCGCCAAACAGTGCGAAGCAAAACAAGCGGCTGGGAGCAGTCGTTGGATGCCAGTACAGAAAACATAGAAAATCACTACCGACTCAGTTTGTCTCCGGAATTGCCGTGCGGTCATAGACGCAATTGACCGAATCGTAGAGGCCGAAGACTCCTTGATGAAGGGGGAGGAAGATCCAACTGTCTTGCAGCGGATCGAGCGACTATGGCAGAAGGCGTGCAACGTACGGGTGATTCTGACAGAAGCAGTTTTGACCACAGAAGGGTAGAAGAACTGATAGATGAAGAGAACGACAAAAGGAGTCGCTCAGATTCGTCGCTTTGGTCGAACAGATTCGATTTTGGTGTCTCTATAGTTCTGACAGGGTGAGATTCGGATGTATCTGCCACTTTGGTGAAGGCAACCAAGACCTTTGAGCTTGCAAAAGTGGCCAAGGTGTTGGAGAGAAAAAAGTCGTGTCCGGCATGTCCTTGTCATGGTGACACTACCCAACAGACCTTTCGCTCTTTTTCCAGGGAGCGTTGCGAAGGGTTCTTCTGTAGAAATCTCTTGCGTAACATATTTGCATCAATACATTTGCGACTTATATAGCTGCATGCGTATGTATGCTATAAGTACTTCTGCAGAAGCTGCAGCTGTGGTTTTCTAGAGCCCTAGAGCTTCACGGAGGTGGTAATACATTTGCGACTTGTAAAGCTGCAGTTGCAGGTATGCTACAGTAGGTATGCTACAAGTACATCTGCAGCTTGCAGGTATGGTTGTGTAGAGCTGCTGCTACGCTAGCATTGCTTTCGTGCTGGGATCTTGCTTGAGTGAGTTGCTGTTGGTGCTGGGATCTTGCTTGGCAGGGATGCAGGGATCTTGCTTGGGCAACATGCGCTGAGGTCTTGCTTAAGCAAAGTCATATGCAAAATGAAGTATCACTTTCGCTGAGGTGTTGCTTAAGTAAAGCGGTATGCAAAGTCAAGTATAATAACTTTTGCTGGGGTCTTGCTTAAGTAAGGTCATATGCGATATCAAGTATGACTTTCGCTGGGGTCTGGCTTCAGTAAACACTTATGCAAAAGTAAACATATGTTAGCACGGAGTCATGCATATGTTGGGTCTTGCTTCGTGCGTGACACATCTCTGCTCTTCGCTGGCTGGATGAACCCTTTGCGGTGTGCTCAAATGTGAGGCAAAATGCACATGCCAGCTGTGCTGGATGAACCCTTTGCGGAGATCATGCCTGTCGAGTGCCCAAACGTGAAACAGATTGCGAATCCAGCTGTGCTGGATGAGCCTTTTGCGGACATTGGGCGTGTCGAGTGCCCACACGTGAGGCGAAATGCAAATTTTGCGTTAGCACGGTGACCCCCCTGCGGAGATCTTGCGCGTCCAGCGCTCAAATGTGAGGCGAAATGCGAATTTCGTTGCCGAAGGCGGAAGGTGCCTGTCGTCGAAAACGAAGGTGGAGGTGGTGAATCTGTGTAACTCCTGCTGAAAATGAAGGTAGAGATCGCGAAGGTGTGTAACTGCCGTCGAAAACTAAGCCTGGCAGCCAAAGTGTGTAATTGTCGCCAAAAACAAAGGTGGAGGTTGCCCAAGCGTGTCGCCGAAAACGACGGTCCGGTGGAGGTTGCCAAAGTGTGTAACTGTTGTCGAAAGCGGGGGTGGAGGTTGCTAAAGTGTACAACTGCTGTCGAAAACCAAGGTGGAGGTTTAAAGCGTGTAGCTGTCGCCGAAAACGAAGGTGGAGGTTGCGAAAGTGTGTAACTGTCGCCCAAAACACAGGTGAAAGTGTATAACTAACTGTCATAGAAATGGCCAATTGGTGTAAATTCAGCGTGTTGCTGGGGAGCAGGAAGATCGGCAGTGTCCACGAGGCTTGGTGTTACACTGTTGTATTTAGTCTGTTGCACACCGCGTGGCCACATTACGTCTGTGATGTCGCTGTGCCATGCAGTTTTGCTTGTTCTCGATGGAATGCGTTGCGTGAGTCCTTGCCACTGTCGCTGGGGAGTGGGATGACTGGCCGCGCCGGCGTTTAGATTAGAAGCGTAGGTTTCAGAAGTTGCCAACAGCATGTAGGCAGATTGTTGGATTTTTGTCAAAGAACAGCAAGAACAGGCCCAAATGCTTTTAAGGGGCCAAGCACTGTACTATAGGCCGTGTTCCTGAGTCGGAAAATGATGATGCCCCACAGTTTCCTTAGGGTGTCGCCTGTCGTTGGTCATTTTTGCCGCAGGAGCAGGAACATGCTGCTGCCTTGGAGGATGGATTACTGTAGTCAAGCCGTAACCTGGTTTTCCACATGTACGTCAGGTATTGCACAGAGTAAAGCAGCAGCTGTTGTTCAGCATCCTTGATGTGTTTTCGGATATACATGAATATGACGCTGTCTCCTAAAAACTAGCTCGAGAACCTGCACCTAGCAGGCACTGGTCTGGGTTTGAGTTGGTTTTAGATTTATCGTTTTTGGTCTAGAATTTCAAGAATATCCTTGCACTGGTCGTGGCGCCAGGAGCAACGGAGGTGCTTGTTGGAGCAGGCCTCCCAGGCGCTGATTTCCGAGATCGGGCGCATGGCATTCAAAGCACTGGCATGGATTAGAGGCGAATGATAGGGTCGCAATGGCCATGATGATTTGCATATTCCGTGCATTTGTACATTGATGCGGCGCAAGTCATCATATTTGCTACATTTCCCTCATGCTCATCAGAGTGGTCGCAGTTGGCTTGAACTGTCTCACGGAGACTTAGACGACGGCTATGGCGGGTTCTGAAATAGATGATAAGTTGAAAGAGGTCATCTCTATAGGAAATCTGCACCATCTAGCATGAAGTGTGTGTTCCACTATTTACGGTTCTCTGGGGAGTCCTTTTTGCATCTGGCTGGGTGGGCACGGGACCGCTCCAGCAAAGATCAGCTGAAAGTGGCTGATAGGTGGAGTTGGAGAACCAGCATCAGCTGTCAAAGTGTGGATCTGAGATAGTGTGGGTTATCCAGTGCCGAGGGATCACTGTACTGCAAGCATAGATTGTTGTGGGCTGAGACTAGGCGTGATGTGGAGATCAAGAGCCTTCGGGAAGAGTTGGAGGCTTGAGCAGTGTGTTTAAGAGCTTGCAATGCTCATATAATTCTCTTGATCTTCTAGATTGAGTTCAGCTCTGCAGAATCAACTTGGCAGGCCTTACGCAAAGAGGATGTGCAGAAGGAGGACGGCAAGGCTGTCGAATCGAAGAAATGGGATGTCTCTAGAACTGAAGGCCTGCAGCATGGAGTAACTCGTGCTTGAGCCAGGCTGTCCTCGTGCAGGAGGTGCAGGCTGTCCCGGGTCGAACGATGTTGGATGTAGGGAGCACAGAGCTTGGAACTTGGAAGCCCAATCGAAGCGTAAACACAGGCAGAGGAAGCCGGCTGAAGCCGTAAATTCAAGCTACATAGCTGCACATCTGCAGGATATTTTTCAGAAACTTGCTCCAGGAGAACGGTAATGCATCAACATTATCAATGTCTAAATTCTAGATTGATAATCAAGCGATGATAATGTACAATAACAATAACAATGAAGATAACACTAATGATAATCCGAAAGGTAATGTGTTCTCAATTTGTTAGATTGTGATACGCGTGGTTTCTGCCCTGTAGGTCCTTCAGGAAGCCCTTAGCAACTCCAGAAAGGAGTCAGAGTTGATGGCGTGGTGCCGAGCACTGCAGTTTCTTTCCTTCCATGGTTACGTCCTTGCTCACAATTGTGCACCCTAAAACGGTCAGTGGCATCAACAGGCCATAGCCCAGCTTTAGGTCGGCAGGGTTTGACTTGGAGAAATGCGTCGGTCCAATCCGGGGTCTGTTTCACGAACAAATCAATTAGAAGTGGGCCGAGAATCAGCCTCTAAGATCCCAAAGTGCAGCAAAGCTTTGTTTTCAGTTCAATTTTTCAATTCTCACCTCAATATGGAGCACTACTTTGCTCCTTTCTCTTCCAGATTTGAAGCCTCTTGTTGTCTTTTATTTCAATAGAGTTAAAAAAGTGGTGTGCACTACAGCTGAGACTTGGACTTCTTGACAAGCCAATCAACACTATGAGTGTTGTTGCAGGGTTTGTAAAGCCTCATTTGTTGGAGAAGTAGATGGACGTTTGTGGATCTATGGTACTCCAAGGGCCCTAAGGGAGTGGGTCGAAAGTAGACATCCAGAATTCCAGAATAGGATCCACCCACTTTTTTGCTTGGATCTCCCTAGGCTACTCAATTGGAGCAGCTCCAGGTGCCTTTCCAGTCGTGCTTTTGCACACCGAACACGACCAGGCGTTTTTTGAACGTCTATGACTTGTTCCGTTTAGTAACCCTAACTGCCATCCAGTGGATATGGCATAGCAGTGCATGGACTGTTCCTCTCACCACCGGCTTGGATGCTTCCGGTGCTAACCTAGACGCTTTTTGAAGGCCCCTAGTCTTTTCCATGTGGGGGTCACTGTACACTCCTTAAAATCATCACGGAAGTGGAAAACCACCTGTTTGTAGAAGACAATTGTCATCCAAGTGTAAGGGGCGTGTGGAGGCGGCCCACAACCGGCTGGATTATCAATGGAACGCTGAGAGAGAGGAGAGCTTGAATGCATGGATTTGCCAGACAAACTGCTCAGGCTTTGAGATTTGAGATGGCAGTGCATCATTTTTGTGGCAGCAAGTTGTTTTTGTTGGTGAACAGTTTTCTCAAAGAACCACATATCTTATGCCGTAGATGTCTATGTTATCCGGCTCAAGTCACACTCCCTGAGTATGTCCTAGTCGCAGTTGCATTGTGACCTCTCAGTTCCAGCCAAACACTCTCGCACCAACTGTTCAGTTCTTTTGCTGATATCCATGCCTATCTAAAGAGGAGAGTAGCACTGCTAGTATCAGTCGCACCATATTGTAGATACCCTATATAGATTTGCAAGAAAGCAGCTATCTGGCTATCTGCAAGATAGTTGCTTCTTCACCCAAAATAGGAACCTGTCTAGCACACCACTCAGCATGACTTTCTCGATGCACTTTCTCCTTCCGGAACCATCAGGAGCTGCTGCGAACCCGTGATGCAGCCCAAAGTCGGCTAACAAGCTTGCAGAGGACCGACTGGTCGAGTCAAAGTGTTGGGTGCTGGTGATTCCTCTACAGATGGGGTCCAGCAGGACAGAGGAATGTCAGGGGAAGAGTGCTTTGCTGGCAAACTTTCCTGTCATGAATTGTTGAATGCTGATCAGATTTGCACAGATTGCAGGAAATTGGAGAATAAAACGCCATAAGAGAGCAAAGAGCATCAAAGAGCTGTCGCCCAGTTTAGAGATCTCTGGTGCCTGTGCTTGTTATAAAGATCAAAGAGTTTGGAGACTGCATTTGCATGTGGGCCGGCTTTTCAGTTTGTTTGGTGCAGATCTTTGGATGAAGCCATGACGAGAAGTGACGACTTGGAAATGACATGTGCGATTGCCCAAAAGATCTGTTGTCAACATTTTCCAGAAACCTTGAATACATCAAGTTGCTAAACTTTCAATGATGTGTTGGCGAGCTCACATGGGCGCCTGAGCGGTCACATGATTTGACAGGTTTGCTTTTTGATTGATGTATATGCACTGTCTGTAGAGATTGCAGATCAGCTGCAACTCGGAGCTGCTTGATTGCTGCCACCAGTTGCATAGTTCTGGATTTGAGTTGAAGCACAGAACATGTGAGTAGGGACACAGGAGAACGAGCGACCGAAGTGTGTGGCTCGATTTGAGGTATTCAACGTGGAGAGAAGCTTGAGCAGATGAGGACAAGGGGGTGTCAAGTCAAAAAAGCCAGACCAGGATACTCTTGCATTCAGCTTGAACTGGATTGAGGTAGTTCACTGGCTTGAGCTCTTTTTGTCATGAAAACAGACATCTACTCTCTCTCACCCGAGTTTCTTCCGCTTGATTTCAGCTGTGAGGACCATGATGGACGAACAAGAGTGCAGAGCTTGATGTTGCACCATTTGTGTTTCCTCCACTTTATTCTTCCACTCACTGTCGGAGTAGAATCAGAGGTTGGAAATGAGTCAAAAGATCGAACGCGCTGGAAGCTTACAGTTGAGAGACACTGGAGTCTTGGTGCTTCCTTTGGTTGTGACTGTGAATCCTTCAGACTATCATGTTCCGCTGAGGTGCAGCAGTACGTAAAGGAAAGACAAGCATCAGCTCTGGCGGCTGAGAAGAAGCAACAGGCCAACAACCCCTCACTGGCCCCTCACTATGTGTTTTTTTTGGGACGATTCCGGAGATCGACAAATTGACGGCCACCTCCACGTGAGGATGCGGAGAAGATGGCTGAGCGGTGGCAAAATGAAGTGAGACGATGCCAGGTCGGCCTGTTAAGTTTCCCTAAAATTCTAGGAACCAAATGAATAGTGCGAGCGCTTCTTCAAGGAAGCTCCCCCCTGCAGGGGAGCTTCCTTGAAGAAGCGTGAGCTATCCTGCGTCCATAGGTAGTAGTTTACTTGTAGCTACTAGCTACCTCAGGTCCTTAGTACATATACTGCAAGTAGGGAGGGGGGTAGAGCGAGCGGGCTAAAAAAGAGAAGCGTCTTAAGCCGTTTGGGGTGCGTTTGGTGCTTTCAGCGGTTCGGCCGGGCACTGGAGGCAGAGAAAGAACGACTTTCTAGCCTGGTGATGGAGCTGGAAGGCTGTAGCCTGGGTATTGCACACGACTTCCTTTGCGTAATGACAATTGTTTTGTATTTGTTTGATGCCTTGCTTTTGCTGTCAAAGAGCCTTTGGAAAATGGCTTGTGTTCTGTACTCTTGGCATTGTGTTTGGTGGACCGGAGGCCGTCACACCGGACAAACCGAACAGTGGCAGAGTGTGGTCGAGCGACACCGACGGGAGGCTGGGCGTGCAAAGCGGGGAGACCGCAGTTTGCCTTTCATCGGCTTTCATCGTTTCAAGCGACGTCGTTCTGTCGAATCTGCCAATGCGCAAATCCATGAATCTGGATTAGCGCCACTACAATTTTTCCGGGGGCTTGAACATTGGACAGAGATCATGAGCGGGAAGAGTAGCATGTGCTAGCTGGCGCTCAGAGTTCAGCAGGAAATCCGTTGCAATGCCCAACATGTGAATGCCTCTCCCAACTTGATGGGTGTTCGTCAACAGAAGGAGACCTAGCTTGCGAGTGCATCCCTGCAGATCCTTCGCATGATCTCGTAGCATTTCTTGTTTCCAATTTGGCTAGTTGGGGGCAGGCCATCGCTATTAGGTTGGAGGCCATCGCTATTATATAGGTTGGAGGCCATCGCTATTCGGTCGGAGGCCATCGCTATTAGGTTGGAGGCCATTGCTATTAGGTTGGAGGCTATCGCTATTAGGTTGGAGGCCATTGGTATTAGGTTCGAGGCCATTGCTAGTATTTCTTGTTTCTTGTTCTTTTTCCTTGTTGTCACCCAGGTCAATGCCTTGGAGGATGCGCTTAGAAAGCGGGGTTCTTGGCAGAACTGCTGCTGTTGTGTGTGAATAGCTTCGAGAAGTAGAAAGAGCAACCAGTCCGTGCTTCCCCAGATTCCTGAGCCAAGTATGTAGAGTTGACCTGGTGCTCAAGAAGAGCAGAATGAATCCATGCCTGGATGTTCCTGCTGTGCCAAGTGCAAAACATGCTGCCACTTGTTGGTTCGACTGTCCTGGCCAGGCAAGAGTTCGAGATGAAGGAAGCGAACACTGAACTGCTTTCGAAGCGGGACGAGGACACGGTGGTTTGTCAAGGTCAGCATATTTTAACTTTCTAACTGACAGGCTGCTTGCAGACTTAGAACTCCAAGACCGTTTATGCTACGTGTTAAACTCATGACCTTGCCCACTTGATCCACCAAGTCCTATGTACACTATAATTGTGAGATGACCATTGACCAGAGACTTGCTTGCCTTGGTTTGGCAGGAGCACCATGCAAAGGCAAACCTGTGTTGCCAGCTTTGTGCTTGCATTTTCTTCGAGGTATTGACATGCTTGGCCAAAGAGCCCCAAAATGTCAAGTGAGGGAAGGTCAAGAAGTTGGGTTCAGATACCTGACAATTCCATTAGAACCAGTGGGCATGTTTCAGGTTGTTCTTGAGAAGCAGCGGGAGAAGGAGCGGTCCATTGCCCTTTTGAAGAAGAAGGAACAGGAGGCACGAACTGCAATGCTCAGCTGCATTTTTTTGCAAACTCAAGGGTGATTGCGGTAAAATGGCAGAGTACCCCTAGGTGCACATCAAGGACCAGCAGCTGCGAGCAGCCAAGCAACGTGTCCAGGATGGCGTCGATGTTTGGGAATAGCTTTTGTGAGAACTATTCCATGTATGGGAGCAACAGAAAGCCTTGACCAGGAGGGTTTCTCAGAGCAACATGTAGGCAAAGAGCAGGTGGAGACACTCAGCGCATGTATGTTTGCTCCTGTTCCTTTCACAGTGCACTCCGTGAGGAGCTTGAAAGCGGGCTTCAAGCGACACCCACAGGAGAGACCGAGTACATTTAGATTAGTTTAGTTCTAATTCTATTGAATGCTTGTTTCTAATAGCTTCTTTTTCCTAGTAGTAAGGCCAGGAGCACCTAGTAGCGTCCTTGCTCCTAGTAGCGATGCCACGAGCCCCTAGTAGCATTCTTGCTCCTAGTAGCCACACCAAGTTTCATGAGTCCCAAACTACTTTTTCCCCAGGAGGAGGCCCTTCTGGCCTTGAGCCAAGAGAAGCTCGTAGCTATCCCAGACAGCTTTCTATGGTCTTGTGGTTGGGCAGCTAGGGACCTGTTTTTGGTGGAACTTGGCACTTCCTTCTTCTGTCCTCCAACTGTTTTGAATAATTGTTGAAGGTGGTGAAACAAGCCTTCCACCTCTACTATCTGCTCGGTGAGAGTGAGCAGCTCCGCCCAGGCCCTATTTGTTATGTAGACCGTCTGATTTTCCTTCTTCAACGACAGGCTTCTGGCTTGGCTCTACGTTTCACAATCGTGCATGTATATAAATAGAGGCTGTAAGACGCAGCTTCCTGCCGAATGAAAAGCAGATTTCGGGTTGAGTTTGGTTCAGATGCTAAACGCCCTAAATGCCTTTGTCGGTACGGGAGTTTGGTCAGCTGGCAAGGAGTTGCCTAGAAACTGGCATAGAACCAATGGAGTGGTGCATTGACTGGATGCCGCATCATTTCCTTTGCATTTTAATTGTCTAGGAAGCCCTTTTGATGGGGAGCAAGATTGGTTTGCTCACCGAAGTTATTTTGTTCAGTGCCGGCTTCCTTGCTACTGTTCCTTGTTGCGATGGTCGCCGCCCTGATGGAGGCGGGCGGGGAAATGATAACCAAAATTTGTTCACAACGTGCCACCGGACTACAGTACCGGTTAAGATGCACTTATTATGCTCTCCTCCCCAAATCAACTTTCAAATATGTTTTAGTGTTTCAATGTGCACCACCAAGGGTTCAAAAAGTGAATTCAGTAGTTGGGTCTCCAGTCAGAGCAAAACCGTGCTGAAGCTGGGAAGGGTTCGGAGGGCTCTTGCGAGCATGTTCGTAGTCTTTTTGCGATCACTTCAAGGGTTCAAGACTTCAAGGTCGCGTTCTCACAGGCAATTGAAAGACGGCCGCGACGCGACAAGAAACCATGCAAGCCACGGAACTTTTAGGCCAACCAGAGAACGCATATTTGCACTTTGCACCCAGCAGCACACATATACATATATATATATACATTGGTACCCCCCTTCAATACACTCCCTTTGTGTGTTCTATACTGTAAATTACAGTGTTTTAGTGATATTTTGGACTCATCTTTTTGAGTGATATTTTGTGACCTTTTTTCACATGATTGTTTGGAACACTTTCTGGAGGGGTGGTACCATGTTTGGGGATGATAATCTATCAATTACTCCAGGGTGAAAATTGATGGCTTGTCTTTTTTTGTTGCTTCATCTTCGAACTCCAGGGGGCCACACACTGTTGCGCCATCTACAAGTCCAAAAACCCTGGAAAACTACCGCATTTATGGTCCAAGATCTCGCCATTTTGTCATCTTTTATTTGCGTGTGGGGGCTTTATGTCAGAACCACAGATGGCGCAATGCCAATCAATGCATACAGTAGGCTTCAACTCTGCAAATATCTCACCACTGATGCTGTACTGCATGAAGTTGGAGAGGAAAGCGCAGGAAATGCTATACTGCATGAAGCAGAAAGCGCAGGAAAGGAACAGATTTTGCAGCCCTAGTTTTCGTGATGTTTAATGATTTTTTTGCGACAGTTTTTTGTGCTTCCTAGCTCAAAGATGATTTAATTGACATGTGGTGTTGAGCCATCTATGGCTATGGTGGCTACCCCTGAGTTGCGCCAACAACTTTTGCGGCGGTGTAATTGACAGGGAAGTGCCATATATATATATATACATCCTCAGGTGAAGATTATATCTGAGAACAAGAAGCAAACAAGAACATTATTCAAAATCTGCAGAAATCTTAAGAAATCTTAAGATTTCCCTGGAACCAAGAAACCAAGAACCAAGATTGCTCAGAAGTCTTGGGGATAATCTTGGTTCTCGGTTCCAAGAAAACCTTCTCATCAGAACCAAGATTTTGCCCAAGACTTCCGTGCAATCTTGGTTCTTGGTTTCTTGGTTCCAGGAAAATCTTAAGATCTCTTAAGATTTCTGCAGATTTCGGAAGACTTTCGTCACACCACAGCATTTGCATCCTTTGTTCACAGCTACCAGGGGTCCGGAAGGACATTCTTTACAAATGCAATATTGGATGCATGTAGGACTATAGTCCCATCAGATTATTTTGATAAAACACATTGATACAACAAAACTGATAGAGATTGACAGGACTAAAGTCTTTACCTGGGCAGTTGCACAGATTAAATTCATACCTGTTTTCAATAGTTGGAAACATTACAGTGATGACATTGACACTGGCAAATTATCTAGTTTTACATTGTATACAGTGGAAGTGAAGGCATCAACTGTTTTCTCAATAAGAGGTATAACTTGATATATGGAACGTTGTTAAGAAAACTATTACAAGCAAGCAAGGAAATTTGTTATAACACTCCTTCATGCATTCATAAGGTCAATTATGACCAGCTTGTTAATGAACTATGGGAAACCGATCTTACTAACGAAAAACCAGGAAACATCACCTTTGGAATGCTATAAAAATCACACAACACTGCACAGAAGAGTTACTGTTTTAACACTTTGAGGGAGGCATGCCATTGCCAAAGTGAGTTTGGAGGAAGGATTTGTGCCATACAACAAGAAATAGAAAAAGAAGTAGAACCAAACATGCAATACCTATTACATCTTAAACATCACCAATAGACATATATTGGTCAATGGGCTTAGAGATATAAAAGGGTTGCTACGTCAATATCATAACTTTTCAATGTATGAAGCATATACTGTAATAAACTTTAAGAAAATGATATTAAGGCCTATTCAGTGAAGAGTGACGTCTTCACGATCTATGAAGACGATTTGACTTGAGTGATGGGCAAACCAAATCATTTTATACAATCATATCGGACTGGAATATTGATATGATATGATCAATTGCCATGCACACAAATAGTTCTGCAAATTTATGTGTTACCCTGTGATATTCACAATTATAAAGCATGCAGGTCAATGTTCCAGTTGCGTAAACCCAATGTTTGTGACTATCACAAATATAGAATTTTAAATTCCAAATTTGAGTTGTTTAAATGTAATGTCACAGTGTAACAAAAAACTAACAACTCATATAATAAGTTGTATTCATCAATTGTCATACGTGCATTTGCACTGGGTGCAACTGACAGTATGAATTGGAGAGCTCATACATAATATTGTTCATTGTCATGTACACAATTTCTTCTGTAAATTGTCATGTTTCTTTTTGTGGGGTCTTCACACTCGTGCACCATGAGATTCATACTTTGAATTGCAAGTCCAATGTAACAAATTGAGTTGACATTTTTGAAATTCACATGATCAATTATATCCATTAATTACTATATTTGCAATTGCAAATTGCATTAGATACTACTAACAAAATGAATTGGAATGTATCGCAAAAGGTGTGTATTGGTGGGGGGGGGGTAGCATATATATTTATATTTCCAGATACATATTTCCAAATCAGGTTTGGATGCAGATGTCTAGTCTCGCTCCAAGCTGTTCTCAGCTTATTTCGCACTGTCGTTTTGCATCACTCACTCTCTTTCGTTCTCTTTGTCTTGATTTTCAGTGTGGCACGCGTGGGCTTCTGGGTACATTTGAGTTCATTTGTATGTTGCGACCAGAGGAGATTGTTTCTGTTTGGAGATTGGTCCATGTAATGTTGGAGCTTGTGCTTTTAAAGCTTTGTGTGCTGCGTCAGACGTCATAGTGCCTTTTGACGTTGAATGTTCTTTCAGCACCCGAAGGATTAGTTTTCAACTTACGAAGATTTTGCTGGGAGATAGATCATTGCCCTATGTTTTGCTGGAGCTCGCGTTTGTGAACTGTGCACACTGCTTCAGACGTAATATTTTGGAGACCGCTGCTTTAAGTATGAGATTTCGGCTTAGATTTAGAACGAAAGAGTGCAAATGACTTGCATTTCAGAGAAACAGGAGCAGACAACAAACATATGTGTATATATATATATAGAGTTGTATTGTTTTCCATAGATTCAACTGAAACATTCAATGAGAGGTTTTCGGGTGTGGGGTTTGTTGTTTACTAGCGCAATCAGCCGAAACTGCTGAGAGCCAGATGTGGTTTGCTGGGAATCCGGGAATAGGGGAAATACACGTAACAGTCGAAGAGACGACGAACCAAAGAGTGACTTCTTGACAGGCTATTCACTCACCAGTCTGTATGACACATTCTCATAGAGGATATCTACACAGCAGGATATTTGTCCTTCATTGTGGACGATTTGTTCGTTCTTTTGTCCATCACTTGAGGCAAGCGCAGCGTGTTCCTTTCTGCCAGGGTCAGGAGCCAAGATAAGACACTCACTAAAGCTGATGTCAAGGCTGTGAGATGGCAGCAGCCGCGTTCCCGTCGTGTTTTGGGGTGCTCGAAATCTGGTAACTCAACACTCGGAGGGGCGTGGGCAGTTGTACATGGACTGCTCCCCACCAATTCAAAGGCCCAAAGCACGTCAATCAATCAACAGATTTGCTCTCTAACTCCTGAGGCTTAAGCTGCGATAAGTAGCTTGTCTGAAAGCAGGGACTGGAACAACTGGAACAATCAAGTCGAATCATTGCATGAAGGCAAAGGCAACTCATTTTGAATTGCAAGACGGCAGGCCTCAGGAGTCATTGATGTGTGTGAAATCTGCAACATGGACATAGGTTGTGTTTGTGTTTAGCCATCAGCGCCATGTCGTTCTGGGAGGTGGTGGGTGGGGCCGACAAAGGCGGGATTTTGGTCCGGGAGGGCCAGAGTTTGAAGTCTACTGAGTTGTCTGGGCGGCTCTCCACTGGTGCAATTCTTGGCGAGTTGGAACGGGCGGGTGAGCGGCTGAAGTATTGCTTGCTGAAAGGCACAGGACCAGCAGAGGGGTGGGTGAGCCTTAAGATTGCTGGTAAAGAGCTTGTCCAGCCCACTTCTACGCCTGAAGGAAAGCCAGAAGTGCTGGAGCCGTTCCCCAAAGAGGTGAAGCACTTGGTGCCGGAATCTTCGCCTTTTCCTTTCCCAAGCGGCCGATGTTTTGGAAAAGATGGAAAGATGAAGATGCTCTAGTTGCACGGTGGCGGGGTAAGCAAAACTGTTGCCCAGATGCAGCTCAATAGTACTTTCAAGGAAATCCCGCAAAAGAAGCAGTTGGACTGGACTATTTGGACTGGTCCTCATGCTGTGCCATTAGGCTGGAACGGCGACTTTTCATTGAAGCCCTTCGGTCCCAATTTTACGGTCTACTTCGAGCGCCTGCCGTTTGCAAATTGCCAGTGGGAAACCTGGGAAGGCCTTGAGAAGACCCTCGTTGAATTCAAGAAATTCATCAAGGAGAATGGGCCCTTTGATGGTGCCATGGGCTTTGACATGGGCGGAGAATTCTTAGTCCACGTGGCAAAAATGGCCACCGAGGGGGACCCCGAGCTGCAAGGGGCTTTCCGCTTCTTGATCCTCTTCACCACAACCGCACCGAAACATTTGTCTCCGATGGGCAGGGAGCGAATCAAAGCCCCTCTACAGATCCCAAGTGTTTGCAGCTGGTCCAACTCAGATGAAAACCATCCGTACATGGAGTATGAAGAGCTTCCACTCTTTATCCACCCAGACTTCAGAGAAGTGATTGTCCACAAAGATGGACACAAGCCACCGCTTCTCAAGAAGGATCAACCTGAGTTCTGGCGACTTGCACGATTCCTAGATGCTATGGAAAAGGGAAATGTATTCACACCCACAGATCATGAGGACAATGGTGTGCGCAGGAGTCTGTGGCTGCCCGTTCAAAGAGGTTTGGCTTCTGAGCCTCCTGCTGGCAAGAGGCAGTTGCTAGTGGTTCCAGATCCTTTGGGAGCAGGGCCAGACTTGCACAGAGTGATGGATGCCTTGCAGGCGATGCAAGCCAAGGGTGAAGCCCTTGAATTCAAGGGAGAGCCATTTGTGAGCAGTGGCTCTCCCCCAAAGCCAATCCAGAGACTGGCCTTGCTGATGGAGCTGTGCCAGGCGTCACATGAGGTTTTCTCGAAAGATGGCTCTGACCTTGATGTTCAACACGTGACTTTCACTGAGGACCAGAAGATTAATTGGCATTGCCAAGCGTCCGAAGTCCCTTCACGTCAGCTTCTCAGCAAAGATATTGTTCAGGATGAAGAGCACGACCTGCGGGTTAGGGCTTTGGCCACCAAACTTTTGGAGTCGATCAAAGTCTCTGGAGGCCCTGGCCCGGCACTTGTAGGATTCGCCAGTGGTGCCTTTATCGCCTTTGCCATGGCCCGAGAGCTGGTGGCTACAGGTGTTAAGCCCTTGGGCTTGTGGCTGGTGAATCCACCACTACGTTTACCTTGGTCCATGACCGCAACGCCTTGTTGTCTCAAGGACTGCCCTGTGCAGGTGCTTGTTGACCAGGATTCGACGTATGGTCCGCCATGGAGATATGAGGTGGCGACCTTTGGCCCCTTCTCAACAGCCGTCTATGTCGACTTAAATGATATGGCTTCAAAGGTTGTGTCAGCTCTTCGTGGTTCATAAGAATCGCTTTTACATTTCAAAGGCCCTCTCAAGCTGGGACCTTTGGAACAGCAGCAAGGATTTGCATTAGAATAGCTTGAGATCAAAAGAAGATGCGCAAGCGACTTGCATCATGTTTTCTTGGAACACAACTGTTTGGCCTTTCTTGGGAATGGAATCCGAACGTTTAGACTGAGCAGCGCAAAAAGGGAGACCATTCAGCCCGCGATGTAGCTTAGGTGATCGCCAGCCGGAAGGACATGCATGGGTGCTACTTACACATGAGGCTGGTTGTGTCTTCAGCAACAGATGCATGAGCATGGTGGAGAGACCCTTTTACAAGATCTTGTCAAATGATGCCAAAAGTGCTTTCTCAAAGTTGATGTATACTTTCCCGGAAGGTGGCTTAGGCCTCAATTGAAGGTGAACTGAAACTTGTGCAGTAGGTTGGAGGCAGACGTATACAAGCAAAATCACTTTGTGCCACATCAATTTTGATTTCCGCAGCAATTCCGGACGATTTCAAGCGCTTTCCAGCTCTCTCGCTTTTTGACCATCCTTGTCGTCATGGGCTCTGGTGCATCCAAGGAAGTTACCGATGCCATTGCCGGCAAGTCCCCCGAAGAGATTGCTGCAGCCTTGAAGGAATTGCCCGCAGACCATCTTGCCAAGATTAAGGATGCATGCATGGAGAAGAAACCATGCCCCGGCCCTGTCGATTGCAGCTCCATCACGGTGGTTGCCAAAGACTACAAGGGTATGCTAGATCAGCCTTCGGCTCCAAAGTTCAAGGGGGCTTTGGCTCAGATCTATGTCCGAAGCCAGCCTTACGGAGGTTCAGACAAGAGCAACAATGGCCATCGGTACGATTCCATTCCCATTGTGAATGGAATGATCAACTCGGGAATGAGCTGCCAATTGATTCATTATACTCATGAAGAACATGACAAGTTCTTCGAACTTTGCAAAAACTTTGACTTCGTCATTGTGAGGTGCAACCCCGGGCAGATCAAAGCGGATGGTGGAGACCAGCAAAAGTTTGATGACGGCATGCGTGCCTTGAGAAAGGCGGGCAAACAGATTTGGCCATCCCCGGATGTCATGGAGAAGATGGGTGCCAAGGATGCTTTGTGCAAGGTGGCGACCATGAACATTGGTTTGGAAGACACTTTGGCATACTACTCGCCTGAAGAGTTTGCCGCCGGCTTCAAGAAGACCATGGCCTTCCAGCCGCGTGTGATCAAACAGAATCGAGGCTCTTCTGGGGAAGGTTCCTTGCCTTTTTGTGAAGGTGGGTTTTCCATTTTCGGTCATGAAAGGGCTTGCCACAAGACTTGCCATCCAGTTGGCCCACAAACAAACTGAATCCGGCCAAGGTATTTGGATCATCAAACTCAAGGACGAAAATTATTGTAAATCTTATGGCGAGAGGTCCTGCGAGGATGGTGAGAAGCTCCTTCTCATGGAGGCCAATGACAATCACGAGGAGGAGTGGAGTGGGTTTCTTTTGGAATTTTAAAGGCGGCTTTTGATGTGAAGATTTGATGCAAGTTGCGCCAGTGAGATATATAATTATCAACTTAAAGGTAAAGGTGTGGACGAATTGGAGGGTGCACCTGGCAGAGTTGGGAGTGCACCTAAGGAATTCAAGGATCCACGTGAACGAGAGTAGCAAAAACAAAAAATATCAACAAGAGACAACAGCAGCACAAACAAGACCAAGAACAAAAACAGCAGAAAAGATAAAAACACCACAAACAGAGGACCATTCATCATTAAACACAATAATTTTTAAATTTTATGCATACTCAAGGGAACCACCAACCTGCTGCTTGTCCTTGAGTTGTTGGCTGTATAGTTACTGAGCTCTGGAGCACCATCAAGACAGATCTATGATGATATATGACAATATATGTATATATATATATACTGTCACAGGTGGTCTTTGTTGAGCTGCCTCTCCCTTGAAACACCGCGGTGTTGCGGTCTCTGGCATGACCTTTATGCACGGACACACTCAGGACAAAGTACTGTACGCACGATCTGATCGCTCCAAGCCCTGAAGAAACCTAGGTATGAAAAAGGCCTGAGTAGTACAGATGGGTCGCACCTTAGAAAATTTCCACGAGCACGAAGTCATTAGCCCTTGACAACAAACCGATGCAATGGACAGAGTCTTGTTCAAATACAAACGGGGCCCAAGAGGTAGTGTCAAGTCATCACGCAGGTACGCCAGACTGATCAACAAACCAAAAGCCAGAAGGTTGCCTGTCACTGTGAGTCCAGGGTGTACACACACAGAGAACCACTGGTCCGCTGCACGAAGATCCTCATAAGTTATGACATGAAAGAGGGGACCATGCTGAAAGTGACAACATCAGCAAAGATTGAGTGATTTGAAAGACCCGAGAACCTCCAGCAATCTCGTCCAATCAACAACCTAATCAATCCTCACATGTTCATGGCATATGCAAGTGAGAGATTTACTAGATCAGGGAGAATCAGCCAAGGGTGTTGTTGGGGCTTAGGTGTCCCTAAATTTGATGAGGCTGAGTCTGGGGCAGTTGAGGTGATGTTGAGGCAGCTGACTTTTTCCCTGAATCAGATAAGGAAAAAGCTTGAAAAGGTGCCTTCGACCTTTTTCTATAAGACTTCAGTCCCCCTGGGTGACAGCCCCAAGGTGCAACACCGTGTGGGTCCTTAGTGGATTTGGCACAGACACACTTAGTCACAGGGTATTCAGTTAACCATAATCCCGGATGAAAGGAGTGGCTCAGCGGAAAAGTGGCTGAGTCCGCGGAAACAGAATGTTTGAACAGTGGCGGTTTCTCTTGACTGCGAAAAAACTTAGCGATGGAAAGCTGCGGAAAGCTGCTGAAGGAAATCTGTTTGGGGGGAGAGTATCGTGATCAAACACCATGGAACCAAACCGAAAGTGGAACAGCTAGGTCAAAAGTTGAGCGCAGGTACGTCGGCAAGCGTCCTTGCCGATAT